CACTCCCAGGCCTCTGCACCTTCTCACCTTTTTCTTTTGCCAAAAGAAAAGAAACCAAAGGAAGAGCTGACAGGTTCAGATGGGCATCAGTGAACAAAGAACCCAACAAGCCAGAGTGACACTGAAGCCTTAGAGAAGACGGACATCAAACAGAAGCAGGTGTAACTGAACATTCAGTCTTTTAAAGACTCAGTGGTAGATACTCCAAGCTGTTCAAATAAAATAACTTACTCCATGCTCTGCAGAGGCAGAAAATAAATATGAAACTGGATCTCGGCAGTACCAGTAGATCCCCAAATTGACCTTCCTGCTTTATGCTCTGCCTGCTCCAAGGAACGTGCTATTCCTGGAGGAGTTTTATAAAATAAAGCCCAAGCAAGCATTCTCATGTCCTCTCTCCACTTCCTAAAGCCAACGCAAGCAGCTTGCTTAAGTGGCCCTCCCACTCCCTCTGGGTCCTGGCACCTGCTAACAACCCCGCACTGGCACCATGGGCTGCCCTGATACTAATCACAGCTCAGCACACATGAGCTACAATAAACTTGTCAGACTGCAAAAGACATGAATCATATGCATTGCCACAACAGCAACAAGGAGTGTACAGCCCTGCTAAAACTAACAAACAAACAAACAAAATCCTAAGACATCCCAAAACACAGATGTAGATAAACAGACACTCTCCTGAGGCTGCCAGTGCAGCTATGCTACAGGGCTTGCCTGAAAAATATATACCATCCTGACGGTTCAGAACTGTGTGACACTTCAGAAATGCATCAGCATGGCTGTAGTGGGGAGCCAGGAGAAAGCAGGAGTAACACGCAGCCTCTTCTCACTGAGAACCTGGACCCTGACCAAGTAGATGCCTGGTTTGCCTGGGATGCTGGAAGTGAGAGAAAACACCTGTAGCAAAGGCTGCTCTATCGGTCACCAATAGATGGGGATGCAGAGGATGCCCAGGGTATATTAGAAAACACATCCCTTAGTACATCCCTGGTACACTTAGTCAGCTGGAGGTGCAGCTCCTCTCACACCAGTAGGGAAGTTATGCTGGAAAAACAGCAATGCCTTTTGCTGCTGAAAGTCCTCCTGGAGTCCTTGGCACAGCCATGAGACTGAAGCAAGGAAATAATGCTATAAGTGCATCTGAGGGGTTTCTATGCTGCCTTTACCCTTTGGGCAGCCTTCAGAGTGGACAAGATGACCACTCCATCCACGCTTGCAGGCCACCAGGATACACCATTTTGACAATTAACCTGTTATTAAATACTAGACTTTGGATGTATTTTTAATTCGTACCACTGCAATACAGCCAATGGGGTTTTATCATTCTGTTTCCCCTCCTGCTGTTTAATGATCTCACTGTGTTACCTACCAAGCCATTGTCCTTCAAAAACCTGCAGACATGCCTCACCTTCTAACCAGCAACTGCAAACCTGTAACCCAAGAGATGAATCAGGCAGACAAAAGCAAAGGGGAAAGGCATAAAGCCAGTATATTCGCTGTTGCTGGAGGATTCAGGCCAGAGACTTCAGCTTTTCCAGGTCAAGAGAGTGTCTGCATTAGAAAATAATCTATAAAATCCTTATTTAACTGTTCCCTTAGGGCAGCAGGCTAGACCCTCACGCCACAGGCACGTGGGCCTGTGTCTCAGTTTAAGCGCGTGAACTGTCTTAACTGACTTCAGCAGGACAACTCATGCATTGAAAGCTAACCACATATGTAAGCGTTAGCAGGATCAAGGCATTAGTCATCTTCCCTTGTTTTCTGCAAATCACCAAATTTGTGGATACAGTTCAGGTATTGGAGTCATACTTGAATCTAAATTAAACCCCTCTCCCCTACTCTCCCTCTTTTAAAAGTAATTGTCTACTGGTTTGGCAGTTGGAACTAGATGATCTTGAGGTCCTTTCCAACCCAGACCGTTCTATGATTCTATGGTTAAGTATGTGGTCTGTTGATGACTTCAAAAGAAATCCTGTGGATATCCAGCACCCATGTCCACCCCAGAAGCTGCATGCTCCCACAAAGACCTACTCAGGCACTTTGTAGCTTTCCTTTTCAAGCATTTTCTTCTAGAAAAGTTTCCTTCCTTCCTTTTTGCCTTCATGACTAGCAATATGCATACTCACACACTGCTCTCAGGCAGAGTTTCCGTGCTGCTGCTGCTGCTGCTGCTGCTGCTGCTGCTGCTGCACTCTCTCCACCTGGAGTGTAAACATTCCGTGACACTATGTTGCCCAGGTAGCCAGTGGTGATGTCACAGACCGAGCGGTGGCTTCAGCTGGAGAACCAGAAGCAGCAGCAGTAGAACTCTGAAAACAAACACTCTGTTTTGATGTAAACAGCTTTCACAGAAAAAACAGAAGTATATATAAATATAGCATAGATTTTTCTCAAAGAAGTATAAATATATATGTGATAAACACAGCTTTCTGCAGGCAGATCTTTCAAAGTCCCAACTAGGTTCGTCATTTTGCGCCTGTCTTGTTCAGAATCAGGCCCTTATTATCTTTCAAAAGAAACATTTCCTATCCTTTTCCTTAATTTTGTTTTTAATACCTTCATGTTTTATCACCGTCCTCAAATAAGCAAACACCACTGCTGCATAAAGAAACAGGTCTCAGGAAATAATGTACAGTGTGTTTCCAAACGCTTCATAAATCCACAGGCAGCTTGCAAATACTGCCTGCATTCCTGTGTGAGGGTGGTTGTTTTTCATGTAAGTCACGTATTAATGCAATTTGGAAAAAAAACAAACCCAAACTTAACCCCATTCAATCACATCACCTTCCACCCTTACACTGAAACCCAGAGGTTATAATTACACCCAGGAGCAGGACTAAATTAAAACAACCGCTGCTGCTGCCTTGTACTCTTTTTTGGAAAGAAAGGTGATCCTTTCTCCTGCGCCTTACGTGCTCTGTCTAACTCAGAACAGGGCTGGCTGGCAGGCAAAAGGGCAAAGAGTAGATTTTCATGAGGTCAGAAATGGAAGTGAGGTTAATTTTCAGAGGTTAGAAACGGAGTAGCACATCCCATGTCCTAAGGTGTACCAGATCTTCAGAAGGGAGCATTATCTTCACTGCCCTGGTTCTGCCACCCAGGACTTCTTCAAGCTGTAGCACCCCAGGAGCAATGTGGAGGGAAGTGGGAAAGAGGATGCGGGTACTTCATGGGTTAAGACATTTTCCACCCCTTAGTAAAGGTTATTTAGAAAGCAGCACACTGTGACAAAGCTAAAACCCAGCAGTCTGGGTGTGAAACACCAGAGGCTCTGACAACAGACTGATGTGTCACAGTGAACTCCCAAGTTGACCATGTCTGAGCCCTTTGCCCGCACTGCTTGACGGAGTCTTTCAGAGAAGACAAGCCCCCTTTCCTTCAAAATCCCTTCTCCAGAGCAACTCCATCTTTCCCTCACCAGGATTATGGGAGACGGGACATTGGTGGTGATCCACACTAAGCATAGGTACAACCTGAAGGTGACCAAAGATTTGTATCAGTGGTTGCCCCTGTGTGCAGGCACACACTACATGAAGAAAGACCTAGGGACTACAGTCCCCTCTTTCCTCCCTCACAGGGCCCTCAGCTGGAACAGAATCACCAGTTATGCCCCAGCATCTTCTCCAGGGTTTCACCAGGGCTGAGAGACCTCAGCTCAGGGTTACACACTGCAAGCTGCCAGCTAAAAGGCATGCCTCCTTTTCAGAGGAGTGAACAGCAGGGAATGTGAAAGGGGCTTGCTATTAAAAGAAAAAGAAACAAAAAAGCAAGAAAAAGAAACAAAAAAGCGAAAGAAAGAGAAACTTTGTTGCCTGCTAAACTGTCTAATGCTTGAACAACTGCAAGAACCAGGCAGTTATCACAGACCAATGTTTGTCTTGACAAACCCCTCTGAAAATTCACATGCAGAAGAAGGCGAAATACTGCTAGGACTTCTGTTATCAGCTTCTCAGGGGACACCACAAATAATAAGCTGTTCCCTCCCCAAAGTACCCTAATGGCATCTGAGCCTTACAAAAAAAAAGATGCTTGAATATATTTTCTGAAATATAAACTTGCCATGCACAGTCAAAATTAAGAAGAAATATAGGGCATTTTTAAGAGAAGCTCCATGGGGAAAAGCAACTATGAAATAGCCAAACATCAATTATGAAAACCACATCAAGAAGAGGCTCTTGTGCACAGGGTTTAGGGATTTGACGAAAATGTGCATCCTGGTTTGACTCACAATGTAGGCACAGAATGTGCAACTTTCCTCAACTTGTACAGCTCAGTGAGCGCGTTCCTTCCTCTGCTGAACTGTAACCCTTTAAAGTCGGTGTATCTATACAACATTCTTGCATCTCATAGCTCTTTGCTCTCCACTCCAAACTCCTCTGCATCATCGGAGTGATCAGCTTACTCCCATCCTAACTCAGTGCAGAAGAAACAGACGATACTACTGTGACATGGGCGAACTTCTGCTGAAGTCATCCAGTAGCTTGCTCATCGGTGGCATGATCATGATTTTTACTTCAAACCTTCAATCAGAGCCTCCTCCCCCCCCAGCTACTGCCCACATAGAACTCTGAACTAGTAATAGGCTTCAGGCAATGCTACTTCCTTCTATGTGAGGAAACACATATGGGTAGAAAAGCAAAATATAAGAAAGTTAACAAAAGCAGAGGGGTTTGGGGGTGATTCTGCCTGTGAGTTGTGGCTGGATCATTTTCCCAAGATGAAAGCATGACATTCTCGTGCACATCCCACAAGGCAGGACCCAGGGGAGGGAGCATACAGAACTGTGAGTACCCAGGGTAAGACCAGCAAACGCCTTCCCACAAGACCCACAGCAAAAAGCAATGGGATGATCTTGTGCTTCTTTAAAAGTCTGTTGTTTTATGGCATTGCTGTTTTATGGTACACAGCACTGTTACTGATAAACAGCATAAATCGGACAGTTGTCACAAGGGAAAAAAAAAGACACAAGTTACTTTGCTTTTTCCTCCATTCCTGACTCTATCTCAAGCGTCACACATGTTCCTACAAGCAATGCCTGGATGCAAAGCTTCACTATGAATTTTCCTCTCTGATGCCAGATCACACCAGGATTTTCCCTGCCTCTTCTTCTTTCAGGAGCAATGGCTATTTATTATTCCTCATGCCCACTCCACATGATAGAAAACTATGCAGAAAACAGGAAAAGGTGAAAGCAAGGCTATTTAAAGCTGCAAATGAAGAATGCAAGGCTTAGGAAACCTCAGCTTTGTGACTGCCTGCACAACCCTCCTTCATCCCTCCTTCTTGCCTGTGTACTGTGGCAGAGCTGTTAATCACATAATCACAGGCTATTTTTCTACAGGACCTTGGCCTCACCCAGTACAGCAGGATACACGGAGCTCACCTAGCAAGCAGTCACTATTTCATCTTCTCTGCACTGTTCAAGGTGTGGCCCCAAGCGTTGTTTACCAGGTACCTGCCACACTCTACTCTGCAGATGGAATTAATAATTTACTCATAGGCTTTCCTACAGTATGCATCATTAGAGTAACTGAATGTTTCACAAACAGAAAGGAATGCATTTTCACAATGCCCTCATAAAGTAAGACACTGTATTACCCATATGTCATGGGCAGGGAATTGAGGCACAGAGAGATTAACATGAAAAGCTTCCACTAATTTTAAATGCCTAATTGAAACTCTTAGGACCAAATCTTTCAGAGATTTGTTCTGGCTGCTGAGGAGGTGGTGACAACAGGGACTTTTAAGGCTTAAAACTTGGCCAAGTTTGAGCTGATGATCTTGAAGAGAGCAGAAGTGATGCCTCTGACATAGATACCACTCAAATTTCATTGGGTTGTTAAGATGGCAATTTGCTTTCTTATTTCTTTGTACATTTGTTCTATTTAACATGCACCAAAAAAGTCAACAGGAGTACTAAAGAGCCATTTTCTAAATACACATTCTGAGGCAGGTAGCTGGGATGGAAGTTTTTTGCCCAAAGAGTTTAAGCTTGGTAAAGGTGTGAACAGCCAAACAGAGGGTCTTAAAATAGGGAAGCTCTTGAATGGCCTCCATAGAAGGCTTTTCCCACGGAATACACTTTTCTTTCTCTTGGGTGGTATTATCCAACTGTTGAAGAAATCACACAGGCCAGATGTTACGCTAACTGAACCAAGCCAAACTTAAATGCAACCTGTAACTTAAACTTTCTTTCATATCCTGGTTCTGTTCAGATAGACAAGATTAATTTATTGTTAATCTTAATGCACAACAAAGTCTTGTTACTCAATTCCACATAGCAGCTTTTGCTTAGAGCATTTCTACCCTGTTCCCTCTGAAAGAGAAAGCAAGGTAAGTGTCAGGCACTGTAGGGGGCACTGGTCATAAGCTGGATCTAGAACTGGCAGATGGACAGTACTGAGAGATAGCGGATCTTACATTGGTACAAACTGATCCTTCCCCTGATTCTTTACAGGGAGACTCACAAAATCCTGAAGAAAAGGTCCACCTGAAAATTCCAGGCAGTGATTTATCTGTGTTGACACCAGGAAAGACAGACAGACTGACAAAAAGACAACAGGGGTGGCGGGAAATAAATCAACCAGTTGCTGTGCCAAGGCTTTCTCAGAGTAATAAAGTATTTTTAGAGACACTTTTGCATAAGCATAAAACCCAACCTTGCAACTGTCCACCACCACACAGGGCTTAGGGGGAAAAGAGAGTGAGACAATGTGGGAGTTGGTGGGAGAACTGGTTCCTCCATCACCTTGTGAACACGCAAGGACAATGTTGGGATAACTCCCAATGATTCCTCTTTGCAACTCAAGCTGTATTCCTGGCAAATGATGTTATAAACTGTCCCTCCCCTAGACACATACCACATGTACACAGAGATGAACAAAGACCCAGTTTCTCTTTCTCCCACCTAAAACTCTTGCCATACTTCCCTGCTTTTCAGCTAGTGATGTCTCCTGACTGCACTAACATTGACTAATTTAGTATTTTTAATTACAGAGGGATTTACAGCACTGCACTACAGTGCTCTCTTATTATACCCACTGCTCCTACTGGATCTGGGTACACTCTACTTACAAAGTTGCACATTAGACAAATTACATTGCACATTAAGTAAATCTCTCTCTAGAAACAGGATTAGATGGAGAGGCAAATCTTCCTCATTCCTACAGTATAAATTAATATTTCCAAAATCAATAAGAAGAGCTCCAAATCAACGAAAAAAACCACAAACCCCCCCAAAAATCCCCAACCAACAAAAAAAAAAAAAAAAGTTTTAAACATTTTCCACAATGAATCAAATTTATATAGGAGATGCATTCTTTTCCTCCGAGTTCACTTAATAAATAAAACAGCTGGTCTGAGGAATCAGGTCAATCAGTGTCTGGAAAAAAGCCCCATTAAAGCTGCTACATAACCTAGTTTCTCAAGCTGCATAAGGCATCCTAATATGAGAGGGGCAGAAGTCCATGCAGAGACAGGCTCAGCTTCTGGCCCCTCAGGGTTATGCAGGGTATTTACCACAAAAGATAGCAGTAAGAGAGGTATATTGTGAACATGTAAGGAGCCAGGCTCTGAAGAAGCACAACAAAGACAACATGATACATCCAGACCTATACATTAAATATGGCTAGTGATCTCCGGCACCTACGTTGAGATCATCCAACATGAGGAGATGGTAAAGCACTGTATTTTCACATATGCTCAGATCCCCTCAAGGCTAGCCTACCTCTGCTGCCACAGTGGGTGACAGCACCTCTTCTCACAGCACTCCATGGCTGCAAGCTCCCATCCCTTCCATGCCACATGAGAGGATGAATCCAGCAGTACCCAAAGCCCTAAGTGTGTTACATGAACACAAAGCCTATCCCACTGCAGGCAGAAGACCCCCGCAGCACCAGTCTTCCTCCTCCTGCATTGCACATGGCTGTTGTTGTGCATTGGAAAAGACTACATTGGAAAAGGTAGTCTTTTATTTATATGTTTGAAAATGCTTTGCCAAAGATACCACAATCCACACCCTGAAAGTAGACAGAAGAAAGTGACTTGTTCAAGCTTAAAGTGCAGTGCAGCAGCACAACTGGGAAATGAAACCTCTTGACCCACAACCCTAGGTTTTAGCTTCTTAAATAAGGATTCCCTTTCTTCATTAAAAAACTAAAAATGGGAAGAGAGGGAGGAGTATGCTATAGACACAATGAACTTGCCCCTCAGGGGGCTAATGACCTGATACACTTTTTTTTTTCCTTCTTGCCTCTGTTTCCCCTGATACTCTTAACTTCAAGGACTATCTTTCTTTACTGGTCTACTTTAACCGAGAGTGTTGGCTCAATATCCTTTTCCCAACCACCTGAAGCCAGAGACCATCTTTCGCAGAGAGGAGATTACCTTCTCGCTTTCAGGCTCCCTGGATGTCCTCACCACACCCTGGCCTGAGACTACTCCTCTTTCTGGATCATGCTGAGGGACACCAAAGTCCTATCCGCTGGTCTCAGCCTGCAGTACGTGGCAGCCTGTAAGGGTACCCTGGAGGTAAAACCTGGTTGTTCTCTATTAATTTTTCATTTCAAGAATGGCTCCAGGGAAGGGAGGGAGATATAGGTCAGAGACTTTGGGGGCTCATCAGTAACTCTGTACATCTTCCTTTTTTGTTCTCCCTCCCCCCTCCCTTTTTTCTTTTCCCTTCCAAATTCAGAAACAGAGGGTTTTCCCTCTGTATTTCTCATTTACTCCTCGAACATCATCAGCATTAGTCAGCAAACTCCTGTTATTTCCTCCACGAGCCCAAGACACTTGCAGAGTGACTAACCCTTCTCAGACTCTGGCTTCAACAGTTGCATTTGTTTTCTTCCCTGAGAAAAACGGGTCTCTGCATTGGCACATGTGCAGTACTCCCCTATGGTCACTGCCACATATGCTCCCACTGCCACATGCCTGCAACCACCACGGCACTTTATGCTGAAGAGCCAGGAGGTGATGGCAGGGCCTGCATTCTTGTCACTTCTTCACCCATCATCACAGCAGCAGTGTCCCTCGGGATGGCAAGTAGTTAGCTACTGCCCCAAGCACAGGCACGTGGGGAACACAATGGAGGAAGCATGAAGCAACCCCGATTCTCTTTGCAGCCCTGCCACTAACCTGGTCTGTGGGGTCACATCGCCTCCATGTGCCTGTATTAGCCTTTCCTTCCCAGGACCAAGAGTGCCTGCTCTCATCGAGGCACCTGGTACCTCACACAGCATGCAGGAAGTCTCTGCCAGGCTTCCAAGGCACGAACACAGGGTGAGTAAAAACCCAGCTCCTCGTGACTCAAGGCCGCCTCATCAGAGCACGACAGAAGGCTCCTCCTGGCCAGGTGGGCTTGCACAAGATGTCCACCCACAGCCACGCTCACGGGGGACCTCGCACACAACTCACGCTCACATAGGCATGCCCACAGACCTGCCCACACTGCTCTCAGCATCGTGCTGGAGTTTGTTGTGTTCACCTTTCCAGGGTGATGCCCAAGGCGCACAGACCACTGTCCCCTATGTCTGGCATGCAAAGAGGACGCCTTGCCCTCAGGCTACTGCAAGTGCTATCTGCAGCCAGCCGTAACCCATAATGGGAATGCCCCACATCCACAGCAGAGCAAATCAGCAAGGATCAGTGGGAAGGCTGGCCAACTTGGTGCCGGAGAACTCCATTCCCTGTTTAGCCTTGATGTGCTCACCCCATCAGTGACCCCACTCCCGCCGCTGTTACCTCTGTCCCCATTGTAGGAGAGCCTGCTCCATCACTGTGTAGGGAGGCATGAAAATAAACCACCGGCTCCAGGGCCACACTCCCTCCTGGCAGATCTGTTTCTCTCTTCTTAACTGTTTCCAAGTGCCTGGCTGTTTTATAATCCCCACTGAGCATTCCCTTAACTCCTTCCTCACTAAGCCCTTCCACCCTCCCTCCCCTGCTTTCTCTTAAAAGGCAGAAAAAGCCAAGGCGAGGTAGGGGGTACAGAAAGCGAAGGAGGGGGCCTGAATCAAGGAAGGAACAACTGAATCAAACTGCATGTATAACAGAACAAGCAAATTAGTCATTTCCCCAGCCTTCTCTTATGCAGACAAACTGACTCTTCTATTTAGGGTTCTTTTTGTGGACATTTGTGTACCTTAGAAGCTTACTTCTTTGCTAATCTCCTCCTGCTTTTTCATACCATGAGGTCACAGGCTTCTGCTGGTAGCACAGTTTTTAATCACAGAGCAGCTTGCCCTTTGAGGTCTGAACTGAAATTGCTTCCTTAGATCACAAGTAAATATGAGTTGACAGCTTCACACCCAGTGTCACCATCAACCCATTTACGCCTAATGCAAAATCCAAGAATCAAGCACAGGTATCGCTCCCCAGTGGAAAGGATGTCAGCAGTCACTGATAGGGCTGTGTGGAGGAGCTTGGGTAGAGGGACAAAGCCTCCCTGCTTCCCAGATGTGGAACACTCCAATTGCCCTGAAGCGTACTGGTGAGAGCCGCACATGCTATGGGTGCTGTGTGTTGCACGTGTGTGTGCATGCGTGTCAACGAGTGGCAGTGGCGAGAGAGATGGAGTTACCTGGCCTGAGACATTTCAGGAGACCAACTGGGATAGCTACAGCGTGCTGCAGGCCACTGTGTGCCAAGGTATGCTGGCAGCACTGCGCAGGGCGGGACAAGAACAGCGATCCAGCAGCTTTGGGTTTCATAACCGTGATTACGTGCAAAGCAATGCCACAGAACACCCCGGTGCATACACTGCTCCTGTGAGAGGATGAATAAAGAACATGGCGGGGGGGTGGGGAAGCCATGGCTTTTACACATCCCCTTCTCAGGTGGGAACGCCATACTGGAGCTGGCTGCTGCTCTTTCCTCAAAGCCTATGGCTGCTTCTTCCAGCATCTTGAGGTAACCCGACAGCTTACACTCGAAAGTTTGCCAAGGTATCTTTTTCCCTGACAAATGAGCTATTCTGTCACACAAGGCTGGGCCACGGGGCTTTTGGAAATGGTTCTGCTGATGTTCAAAGGGAGCAGCTTGCTGTGCAGAGGAGTGGCAGAGTTAACAGTAGTAGGATCAGCACACGCTCCTACCTGCCATCTGCCTTCAGCTCAGACAGGCCTTCTGCTGAACAGCCAACGCTGGGGCCTGGGCTGGGCTGGGGCCACTGCAGTGAGCAGCAACTCAGTGACATGAACGACTGCTTGGGTTAGTTGATTAAGAGTGCAGGAATCCTGTATAATGCTGGTACTGACTCAGTCCAGGGATTTCATGGGGGTATTTAAGCCTGGTTTTCCGAAGTCTTTTGCACAGGTGGGTGGTTTTGTGCCAGCTAAGACCAGCCCCATGAACTGATCTCAGAAACAGGGGCCTCTGAAACAGCTACGCTTTCTTCTTTGATCACAGTAGAAAGTAGGGGTAAATAAAGCTTTAACTACATCACTCCCCTGTAAAGTTTAACTCCTTCACATACATAAAGCTCTGCAGGAAACACAGTGCTTTTAAGCACTGGCCACTGCCAGCAGGTCCCGGCAGGAGCTGCTTG